ATTCACAATAGCCAAGCTCTGTAAACAACCCAGGTGCCTTACAACTGATGAATAGATCAAGAATTTGTGGCATATATACACAATGGAGTATTACTTAGCCATAAAGAATAATGACATGTGGTTTGAAGGTAAGTGGATGCAATTGGAGGACATCATGTTAAGTGAAGTAAGCCAGGATCAGAAACACAAAAGCCACATGTTTTCTCTCATATGTGGAAGACAGATCCAAAAATAAAAATGTATACAAAAACAAGCATGATCATATACAAACTCAGATGTAGAACATGCTTGTAACAGTGGAACTACTCTATGGAACTTGAGGGAAAGAGGGAAAGGAAAAGAAAACAATAGAGCAGCAGTAATATCACATAGCATAATGTGTGAAGATAGAGGATATAAGAATGTGTATTGACAGCTGTTGAAAAATGGGGAGGTGGGAGGTAAAGGGGTAAAGGAGAGTAATGGAAGGAGTTGAACAGACCAAAGTAAAGCACACTCACAGTGGGCATACATTGGGACACCCCTTTGAACATCAAGCTAAATATTAGTAATGAAAAACAGGACTGTAAAATAGGTACATTTTGTAGTGTGTATGTGTGGGGGTACTAGTAGGAGGGGGAGGGTGAAGGAAGGAGATTAAGGCAATGGTGTATGGTTGATGGACGTCATATACTTATATGAAACAGAACTGAGAAACCTCTTGCAATTGCTTTAAGTGGGGTGGGGAGGGAGTTGAGAGGGGAGAGATTATGGCAATGTAAATAATGTACAATATAAGTCTGATTGTAATTATCACTATGAATCCCCCTGTATAATGAATGTATCCTATTGTAATTATCACTATGAATCCCCCTGTATAATGAATGTATCCTAATAAAAATTTATTTAAAAAAAAGACACATGTGCATGTAGTAGCAATAAGTTTAACACCTAGTTAAAAGAATTAGTTTACACAAGGGAGGGATGAGGATAGGTAAGACACCTAAAAAATTAGTTAGCATTTGTTGCCCTCAATGCAGAGAAACTAAAGCAGATACCTTAAAAGCAACTGAGGCCAATAGGAAAAGGGGACCAGGAACTAGAGAAAAGGTTAGATCAAGAAGAATTAACCTAGAAGGTAACACCCACGCACAGGAAATCAATGTGAGTCAATGCCCTGTATAGCTATCCTTATCTCAACCAGCAAAAACCCTTTTTCCTTCCTATTATTGCTTATACTCTCTCTACAACAAAATTAGAAATAAGGGCAAAATAGTTTCTGCTGGGTATTGAGGGGGGAGAGGGAGGGGGCGGAGTGGGTAGTAAGGGAGGGGGTGGGGGCAGGGGGGAGAAATGAACCAAGCCTTGTATGCACATATGAATAATAAAAGAAAAAGGAAAGAAAAATAAAAAATATTTTTAGAATTAAAAAAATAAAAAAGAATTAGTTAAAATAGGGAGCTACCAGATGTAAAGTGTTATCAAAAGCGTCCATATGTGAGTGAGACTTGAACTTCAAAATTGATTTGAAGGCATGTTCTATACTTGTCCTGGCACCAAAATTGCTAGTTCCAGCTTGGCCTGGACTTTCCATTGTACCCAATACTTCCTGATGGATGGCAGAACTATTAACTTTATTTTTAATTTTTTTTCACTTTTTTATTATTGTGTTAGGGGTACATTGTGGCATTTGCAAAAGTTCTTACAATATATCAAATATATCATAGCTGAATCCCCCTCCTCCCTTAACTTTATTTAGTATGTGTGGGGATAAGAAGGTAGAAAATACACTCACACCAGGTGGATAGAAGGCAGACCTGCCTTCCTGTCTACAGGAAGGGTTCAATCATCAAACATCCTATTTTCCTCTAGTTCTTTGCTCCTGTGCTTTCTTCTGTGTGTCATTTCTCAGGGACCTGAATCATGTGCTAAGGAGTCAGGGTAGGAGCATCCCACAGGCTCAGCTTCTTGCTCACTTATGAGGATGGCATTTGTGAGGGTCACATGGCATGTCATCAGAGGTTCCCATTCTGCCACTTATCCAGTATAAGGGCTCCAGACTTGTCTTGAGCACAGTGGGGGAAACATCAATGGTAAGCTCAGTTTAAAAAAAAATGTGCTGTTTGGAATTTCAAAAAAATCCTTAGAGTACCAATAGGCAGAATATTGTATCTCTCCTTTGCTGACAGAATCATTTCAGTCACTCTCAGATATTTCCAGTTGGTCAATCCCAAAGACTTTTCTTTTAAGTGAATTAAGAGGCATTGACCATTGAGATTTCTATTTCAGTTGCAGAAAAAAAAGTGACATCAACGAGGCACCCAACCTGGTATAAAGAGGATCAAGGGAGATTCTAGGCTCCATTAGCCCGTCAGTCTGGTAGTCTTATAAATAGATCACATTTGGGCTAATCTGGTATCACTTTGTCTTTAGGTGGGAAGGACTTGAAAAGAATAAATACTTTAGCTAAAGAAATCCTGAATGGATGGGGACTTGAGTGGGAGGTGTCAGCTGAAGATGTGGTGGCATATCTGTAGTCCATCTGTGTGTTTCAAAGGAAATTATGCCTGAGAAGGAAATTATGCATGAGAAGGAAAAGAAAACAATATGAGATGGAGGTGCCTCTCTTGAAATCCAAGTACCAGATGTACCTACCTTGGGGGAGGGGAAATGCCATATTGCCACATGGCCAAGTGTGTTCCTCTCGCGCGGCCACAATAACAAATCACATTAAAAGAGAGCTAATGAAAAGGTTAGATTAAAAAGAATTAACCTAGAAGGTAACACCCACACACAGGAAATCAATGTGAGTCAATGCCCTGTATAGCTATCCTTATCTCAACCAGCAAAACCCCTTGTTCCTTCCTATTATTGCTTATACTCTCTCTACAACAAAATTAGAGATAAGGGCAAAATAGTTTCTGCTGGGTATTGAGGGGGGGAGCGGGAGGGGGTGGAGTGGGTGGTAAGGGAGGGGGTGGGGGCAGGGGGGAGAAATGAACCAAGCCTTGTATGCACATATGAATAATAAAAGAAAAATGAAAAAAAAAAAACCTTCCAGTTCCAAAAAAAAAAAAAAAGAGAGCTAATGTATTACCTTATAGCTCTGGACATAGGTAGTGTAAGATGGGTCAGCAGGGCTGCACTCTTCTGGAGGCTCTAGGGGAGAAATTGTTTCTTTGCTTATTCCAGCTTCTTGATATTGCTCGAATTCTTTGGTTTGTGACCCCATCCTCCATCTTTAGAACTAGCAGCAAAACATCTACAAACCTGTGGCCCTGCTTCCCTCACCACATTTCCTTCTCTCACTCAGATCCTCCTCTTATCAAGGTCTTTGTGATTACATTGGGTAATCCAGGGTATCTCCTGATGTCACAAACCTTTTTAAGCACATCTACAAAACCCATTTTGCTAATGAAAATGGACATATTTAGGGGTCTACAATTCTATCACACCAAGGTTGTGGCAGTTATTTTTGTTTTCATGGTGACTTTTGGGTTATATTATCATGCAGGTCAACTTCTTATCTGTCAGTCCAGTGTCTCTCATGCTTGCATTTCTCCTCTTGGTTTCCTCGATTATGCAAAGCTGAGAAAGAATTGTCAAACCAGGGCCTATTTTAGGGGCTGTGTTCAGTACCAAGACTTACATTTACTCTAAGAAAACAGCAAAGTGATATAATCAGTGTTGAGTCCTGATATGTCAGAATCTGAGGGGATCTAAGAGATGGTTTGATCTGATCCTCTTCATCTTACACATGAGAATGAGAGGCAGAGAGGCTGAAGTGACCTGTCCAGGTCAACAGCCAGTTGGTGACATTTAAAGAAAAATAAGAAAAGCTAGATTTCCATAAAGTTTACTGATCTGAGGTAACAACTATTTACCAATGTGACTGATTCAGGGGCACTGTGACAGAATAGGGGCAACTGGATTTAAATACAAGGATGAAGCCCTTTTTTTCCTCAGGCTGAAATATGATCTAAGGAATATGGCTGAAGTGAGTATGGAGGGGAAGTCTAATTATCTTGACTCTGTTTTGAATGCTGCTTTCCTTCAACATTTATAGAAAAGCACATGTTGAAGACCCAGTCTAGGAGATGTCCTGAGACAAAGACAACCAAAAAAAGTTTTATTGATGTTATTTACCATTTGGATCTTTCAAACTCCTGAAAATACAGAGAAATCAATTTTAATTTTAAAATACAATAATAGTCAAGTCACAAAAACAGTGCATTGAATAGGAATAATAGACTGTGTGACTCATCAAAAAATGAGTTATAGTTTAAAGTATATTCATACCCCTTTAAATTTTTTATGGATGAGGATCTATTGCCCAGTTAATGTTGGTAGGATCAGTCTACCAAACATTAGACAAAGTGCTTGAGCATGGTTAAGCTATGGAAATCTAGAATTTGGACAAATTCTGATGCAGATGGGAGAAATGAGTGCCAACCCTCCCACCTGTCTCAGCCTTTGCAAATTTAGGTTCGTAGTTCTCACAGGCCTGGTGTGCTGATGCATGGCTTATTTTTCCCTTTGGTATTTGTTAAGTCAGTTTCTTCCATCCCATAAGTCACCCCAGGGGACAAGGCAGTTTGTTTTGGAAACTAAATGAATCCTCTCAGGTTACTTGGTATTTTGTGATACATTCACTTGTAAATGTATTTTGGCATATAGAAATATTTAGGAAGATAAACTAATCAGAGATGATGTGCATCATTTGATTTGTACATCTGGTAACATTCTCACTTCTTTTCAACTTTGAAATCACCTGTGGTGGAGGGAGAATGAAGCAGAAAGATGAGAGGACAGCTGTGGTTTGGAAAGAGATGCTTCTGAGTTGGAGCTATTGTACATTTTGAATGCCAAAGTCAATTTAGATCTAAGCCTGAAGACATGCAAAAGTCTGAAATTTTCCAAGAGGGTTAATTGATGATAGCTGCCACCTTCTGCAAACCAGGGCAGGTTGTGACTCTGACTGGTCAAGCAACTTGAATACGTGCCCCTTCTTCAGAAATTACACAAAGGACGATAACAGCAGTGAGTAGAGTAAGTTTCATAGGCTGTTATTCTTCTCTGGAAGCACTCTTTGATGCTTTCTGTGCAGCCTTTAACTGAGTACCACTGAATGCCACCTGAAGGAAAGAGAAGAGGTATAAGTAGAGCAATCTCTTGGAGGGGAGGTTACACAAACTTATGTGGCCTCATAACTAACATAACTGACTCGCAGGTTAGAAGAAAAGACAAAGCAAAAACTCTAGGTATACTAAGATACAAATCTAAAGTTCCTACCCCGAGTAGCTTGTTTTATCATCTTGCTTTTAAGAATTCCCACTTAAGCTATTTTAGTTGGGTACACTGCAGTCCATAGACTTTGAAATTGTTAAACAAAATAGCTTTCCAGCTAGAATTATAAAGGCCATGCGATTGCCATTGACTGTTCAGAAATTTCTGAAGTGGTAGTTATTTGGAAGCTTTCTGATAATCGTTCCTCAATTTCACATAAGTTGTGAATTATTCAAAGGGCTGAGGCCCCAGATAGAACATATAAATGTGTACGTGCTTCTCATAAAATAACCCCCCTTAATTTTTCCCTAAAGAAGTAATGCATATTCACTGTAGAAAATGTAAAAAATGCACAAAAGTGCAACGTGAACAACACAGTGACTTCCCACTATCCTACTCTCCCAAGCTTGTTACATGAGGGAGGACAAAAGGAGTAATTCCCCAAAGTAGCAAAATGTAGATTGTTGCAAATGACAAAATAGTGGCATCTGAGGCTGGGTGTGGTGATGCACTCCTGTAATTCTAGTACTCAAGAGGCAGAGGCAGGAGGATGGAGAATTCAAGGCCAGCCTAGGCTAGATAGCAAGGTTCTGGTTCAAAAAAAAAAAAAAAAGAAACGAAGCAAAATAAAACAACAAAAAAAAGTAGTTTCTCAGCAGTAAATGTTTTAATAACCCAGAGACATTCTTGTTATCACAATCAGATGGGGCAGCAGGACTAGATGACCTCTAGAGGTAAAAGGCCAGGGTGCTTCTATAATCTTACAATACAAAAGACTCCTATGTAGTCATCTTTCTGTCACTGTGACAAAATACCTGAGGTAGTTATTATATTTTGCCTCACAATTTCAGAGAGTCCAATCCATGGTTGCTTGGCCCTGTTACGTTTTGGCCTGTGGTGAGGTTGAGAGTCATAGTGGAAGAGCACGGTACAAGAAGCCACTTACCTCATGGTGGTCAAGGAGCAAAAAGAGAAAGGAAAGGGCTGGTCTCCCAAGGCACAACGCCCACCAATGGCCTATCTCCCTCCCAGTATGTCCCACCTTCCAAATGGTCCACCACTTCCCAATAGGGCCAAAGGCTGGGGATATGCCAGCAACACATGGGACTTTGGGGGACATTCAAGATCCAAACTGTAGCAACTGTCCTCCATAGAATAAATGTAACCTGCCCCAATGTTAATAATGCCAAACTTAACAAAAGTATAATTTTTTAGTTGTTTTGTTTCATATCAGTGTGAAATGCAAAATTTCCGAGCAAGAAAGCTCCACTTCCCACAACTCTGTAGTCATTTCAAGCCTTTGACCCACCAGAAACTATTGTTAATAGTTTATAACTATAGTTACGCTGTTTGCTATGTTACTTCTGGGCTCTTTCCTACGCACAGAATCCTTTGATTCCTTACTTGCTTTGTATTAAACCCCTTTGTCAATATGTAAAACTGACCTGTTTTTTAGAAGGTTTATCGCTTTCAAATAGTTTGATGATTCACAAGGGTTAGGGATGCTGGAGAGAGGGTTTGGGGCTATGGTGGGTTTTGTTTGTTATAAGAAAGCGATGCCATTTAAAGCAGACACTAGAGACCTGCCAGGGACTTGTTAACTACAATGAACATTTTTTTCCTTGCTTCTGACCCTTTGTATAGTTATGATACCAGATTAGCTTTATAGCTTTGTAGTAAATATTTTGTTTTCTGTAATACTGTTATAAAGTTTCTTCATTTTCAAAAAAAAAAAGAATCCTTTCATTTGCAGTTTGATGTCAGTCTAACTAAGCGACTGTCCACATTTAGGAAGAGAAGAACCATGTCTGAGAGCCAATGTCCATGGCTTCAAGGGCCTTGGCAGTTTTCTCTGACTGGCGAAGGTGAGAGTTGCAGGGAACACATTGCTGAGAGAAAGAAGGTTGGCTGTAAAGGTTGCCAGAGCTCAGGAACCTTGATGGTCAAACCGCTCAGATGTGACCTGTGATTCTCTTCCTTTCTCCCAACTAACTTTAATCTCCTCTAATTTTTGTTCTCCCCTCCCAATTCCATGAAGAAATCACAATTTGTATTCCTATGTATTATATTGAACATACTGTTTTACAACTGACTTTTTCCCACTCAGTGACGTTTTGGGTATTTTCCCGGTGTTAACAAATGGATCTAGCTCATTGCACAGTATACCATGGCTGGAACATAATGTAGTTTGCTCCCTGTAGGAGAGCATTTAGGCCATTTCCTTTGCTTCATTGTTAGACGTAATGCTGCAATGCTACCTTGGATGTATAGCTTTAGCATTACACATACGGATTTCTCTGCAGCGGATGCCAAGAAAAAGAATTGCTTTAAAGAAGGCTGTGCTCATTTAAAATTTTAACGAAAATTTACAGATTGTCTTAAAAAAGATCGAACCTATCTAAATTGTCATTGGAAATGTATCAGATTTCCAATCTCCCCACACTATAATGAATCCTTGGTATAATAAAATGTATAGTTTTTCACCAGTCTGATGGGCTAAAAACCTTATTTTATTAATAATTTGAACCAGCTTGGTTTTTCCTAACAAAGTTGTACAGCCTTGCTTTAAGACTTATTTGGATTTTTCTCTTCTAAGAATTGCCTTCATATTTCTTTTCACAAGTTATTTCCCTGATAGTTTTTAAAAACTGAGTTATAGGAGTTCTTCATTTTTCTAGGTAGATGTTAACATATTTTTTCTGTTATCTGTGTTCCAACTATTTTCATCTAGTTTATCCCTTATTTACATTATGGGTTATTTTCTAAATTTTAAAATATTGACATATTTAAATTTAACATTTCCTTTATGAGTGCTGAGTTTTGGACATTAAGAAGGCCTCCTCTCTTTTTAACTTAAAATATGTTTTCCAGTATTTTCTTCTAATGTTTTTGTCATTTGGAATTTTCCCAGCTTCACGATCATGCAACCTGTACAGTTGCACAGGGCTCTGTGTTTAGAAGGGCTGTGCAGGTCACATATTAAATTTTTGTGAGGCGGGAGAGGGAGGGGGCGGAGTGGGTGGTAAGGGAGGGGGTGGGGGCAGGGGGGAGAAATGACCCAAGCCTTGTATGCACATATGAATAATAAAACAATAAAAAAAATTTGTGAGGATGTGAATGGTGTAAATGAGGCAATGTATAGAATCTATTAGTGGTCTAGAGTCAAAATATTTGCATTTGAATATTGCCTACACCAGTCATCAGTTGTGTAAATTTGTGTCAATTCACCTTTCTGTTCCTCTATTTTTCATATTTAAAACAGGCACAGGAGGCTGGAGATGTAGCTATGTGGTAGAGCTCTGGACCAGGATATGTGAAGCCCTGGACTTGATCCTCAGTATGGGGAGAAAGATAGACATAAAGAGGAGAGAGAGAGAGAGAGAGAGAGAGAGAGGAGGTGAAGAGTGACAGGATCCATCCAGCCCATAGCATTGTATGGTTAATGTGATATAGTCCTTGTAAAGTCTTTGTTTTAATATCTGGCATGTAAGTGTTCAACAAATGTTTTCTGTTTAAGGATTTTCCTTGCACTGCCTTTAAATACATGTGTCTAAGTAGCAAGACTTACCTTTACTATGAATCTCTTTTATACAATACTGACCAGGCTTTGCTCTGCAGGTTCCAAAGTCTAAAATACATCCATGGAAGGGAATTGAGAGGTTGCATGACCTACAAATCACACTTCCAACATCTCCAGGGGCAGAGACAGAAAATAAGGGAAAACAGTGGTGGAGACCAGAAAGAAAAAGGAGAGAGACAAAACAAACACATAAGTAAATAAAGCAATGATTTTTAGCTTTAAAAAGTAAGCAATATTTAACAGTTTAATTCTAAAAGTTCACATGAGGTTAAAATTATTTAATGAGGGAAATTTCAAAGCATATGCCACAGTAATGGATTGGAAGCACCCTAAACTGAAAGTAATCAGAAATGAAGACAACTTTTTAAAAAAAATTTCCTTTATTCATATGTGCATACAATGATTGGGTCATTACTCCCCGCTTCTCCCTGCCCCTTCCCTTTCCCCCTCCCCCCCCACCTCCTCTCTTTCAAGCAGATAGTGAGAATATAAACATTAATAAGGAGGACCAGGGGTTTTTGCTAGTTGAGGTGAGGATAGCTATATAGGGAGATTCCTAGTATTGCTTCCATGTACATATGTGTTACTTTCTAAATTGATTCTTCTCGAACTAACCTTTTCTCTAATTCCTAGTCCCCTTCTCCTATTGGCCTCTGTTGCTTTAAAGTTTCTGCATTAGTTCCTTTGCATTGAAGACATCAAATGCTATCTTTTTTTTTTTTTTTTTGGGTTACCTACCTATCCTCATACCTTCCTTGTGTGCACTTGCCTTATCATGTAATCAAAGTCCTATCCCCTTGTTGGGTTTGCCCTTGATCTAAAGTCCGCATATGAAGGAGAACATATGATTTTTGGTCTTCTGGGCCTGGCTAACCTTGCTCAGGATGATGTTCTCCAGTTCCATCCATTTGCTTGCGGATGATAAGATTTCGTTCTTCTTCATGGCTGTGTAAAATTCCATTGTGTGTAAATACCACATTTTCTTAATCCATTCATCAGTACTGGGGCATCTTGGCTGTTTCCATAACTTGGCTATTGTGAATAGCGCTGCAATAAACATGGGTGTGCAAGTGCCTCTGGAGTAATCTGTGTCCCATTCCTTTGGATATATCCCCAAGAGTGGTATTGCTGGATCAAATGGCAGGTGGACACAACTTCTTAGTGCAACTTATTTCAAAGTTATTTCACCAGAGAATTTCAGTTCAGCCACATATCCACTACAGGGATTTCATTTCCATGTCTAAGGTAGCATATTATACATATCATGAATATTTATTACTTGATTAATTTTTATATATTAGTTATCTTCAATTTTAGATGCTCAAAATTTTATTCATTTTGTTTATGTAGAACTAGCTCAGAGATTCTTAAACTTAGGCAACATAAGTTTTGTTGGAAAGACATTATCTAGAAGACTGGTTTCCAAATTCCAAGACACATTGTATTTATTTGAGTGGTTAAAATAAAATAAACAGATTGTTAGAGCTCCCACAGACTTGAGTTAAATCTATGGGAAGTAGGGCCTGGGAATCTGTAGTTTTAATGTGCAAAATGTATATGTATATGATTTGGCTGTAGACATCTAGACCAATGTTGGAGAACTGGGTTCATCAATTCAGCAATCCATTAGAATAACTTCTGCAGGGAGTCTTGACCAGTGATGGAAACCTTCTTGCCATTAAAGTTAGCTCAGATTGTTAAAACATTCTTCTGTAGTTGAGCCAAAATTTGACCTAGACTTCATAATTTTCATCTTCAATTATATACCAATCACTGCCACATCAGTCCTATTTATTGATAACCCCAAATAAGAGTTTACTAGACTTGTTGTACAATGTATTTTATATCTCTTTCTGCCATATTGGGGGTTAGAAGAGGTAACATTTTTGGGACAGTGAGGCAGTAGGATTGTGTTTGAGGCCTGCTACATAGAGAGACCCGGTTTCAAAAAAACCAACCAAACAAACACATACACACACACCCACACCCACACACACACACACACACACAAAGAGGTAACTTAATAGGAACAGTCTGGTTGATGAGGCTCACTAACCTCTGTTGGCTGTTCTTAGGTTCAGTCTCATCTAAAAACATTAGGGAAACTTCATGTTCATTCTTCCACTGAGTGTGACAGATTTTCGGCTCCTAATCAATGATCATTCAACAAATATTTTTTAAAGAATGAAGCTTATGCCCAGGACTCTGCTAAGCAATTTATATGCACTTTTGCATGCATTATTTGTGCCCAATTATTTCCCCACATGCATCTTTCAGTCAGGTGTTACAGTTGCCCATATTTCCCATTAATAGCTTGCGTAAGTGGCAGAATCGGGAAGAGAAAAGGTCAATTGAAATCTCAGCTCTTGTTCTTGGTGAGAACAGTATGTTCCCCTGCTGCCTACCTTTGTGTGTCCCAAGATTCCTGATCACCTCTTCCTGCTAGAGAGCTTGACTTTTCCTGCATCAGGGTTAGCTGCCTGCTATATTAGTAAACCTGCTGTTCTTCAGTTCATCCCTAAGTGGGTTTTCCTTCTGCATTTATGATCACTCAATCTCACATCTTGAGCTTAGAGACCCAACCACATTCCTCAGGCTCCCAAGATGTAGAGCACACATGATACCAGATCACCCTCCGCATTGCCTGAGAGTCCTGGGCTGGTTCTAGGGAAGACCTGTTCCAGGGTTTTTCTTCCCCGTCATACCATGCCACCTTCTGATTCCACACTCAGCACCCATAGTCTTCTTCTTCCTAAAACTTTGGTCCTGACATTTTTCACTGTGGCTGAAGATGATACCTGAACATGTAGGCCTTTGCGGTGACTGCAGTTCTTCACTTGCCCAAATACTTACAAATATATTGTCAGTTCCCATTTCCTTTCTTCCAGGTTCTACTTACCTGAAAATTTACTGTTGATTTTATTAACCTGATATATTCCAATTTGACAGCTAAGTTTCATGCTTTGGGTTAGAAATAAAAAGAATACGCTCCTTACATGATTAATTTTAAAGTATGTTATTATATTTATGACTTTTTACTAGTGAAAGAACACCCAGAGTATTTTATATGTAATTATTTATATAATTCATATTTATTTCTACTGTAAGTCATAGTCATATATATGTCATAGTCATTTATATACAGTTATTTAAATATGTATTGTAAATAATGATAATGGTAATTTTTTTAAAGACAGGGTCTAGCTGTGTAGCCAAGGCTGGCTTTGAACTCTCGATCCTCCTGATTCAGTTTCCTGAGTATTGGGATTATATGCATATGCCACCAAACCCAGCTGATGGTGATCTTTTAAAATAGCTTCCCTTTGTATGAGCAGTCCTGGGAAGCAGATGTTAAGTACCAACAACAAAATTTCTTTTCATTCTGAATTTTCTTCTTTTGCCCTCAAGTCTTCCTTTGTGTCCAGCAAAATTTATGCAATCCTTGAATCACTCTTTCATGATGTGTAAGATACTGAAAATGTTTTCTTGTGGTTTTTCACCTTTTAAATGCTCCCCTTCTTTCTGAGAAAGAAGTATGAGGACTTAACATGGAACAGAGACCCAAGCTATGGAGGTTGAATGTCTTGCTGCCCACTCTACAAGGAGTAGAAAGAACTCTATGGTATCCTATGTTTAATAATGAGAATAAGAGCCATAACTGGTAGTCAGTGGGCCAGACCTAGTATTTAACTTGTATATAGTTTTCAAAAATTGTATTCGTTGTGAACATTTAAAATTTGGGAGAGTTCTCCAAACCCGAGTTTCTTGCTTCTCCTGAAGAATCAAAAGATTTGGCAGTGATAGGATCTGCTTTCTCCACAGCAATAGACACCTGTAGTTGGGTACCCACTGCCCTGCTGTAGATAGAGCCTTTCCTCTTGGGTTGTAGCTGTCTGGCTTTACCCATTTTATTTTTTGAGACAGGGTTTCACTATGTAGCTCAAAGTAGCCAAGAACTCATAGTCGTCCTATTTCAGCATCCTGAAGCCTGGGATTACGGGTCTGCACTACCACGCCTGGCTAGGTTTCCCGCATTTATACTATCTGGCCAAGTATATTAGGCACTTGAGTTGTTGATCCTAGTACTTGATACCAAAAGTCTTCAAGTCTCATTTTATTTATTCTGAGATACTTTGTACATTCCTTCTACTGAAGTGTGTGTTCTCCAGACCAGCAACCTCAGCCACACGTGGAAGCTTGTTAGAAATGCAGAATCTCAGGATTTATCCTCTATCTACTGAATCTGCCTTCATTTAAATAAGATCCCCAAGTGACTCCTATTAAATGTGTGACATACTGCTTTTCAGACCATTTTCTCTTGCTCCTTCCTCTGGCATCTTCTAATTGTAGGACACTGCTATGCTAACATTCAGGTGCAACAGGGAGCAGCTGTGCTTGTTACCACCTACACGTTATGGGGAGGGAGAAAGGGTACCATGGTGGTACTTGAACACACCTGTTTGAAGACATTACCTCTGCAAACATCTACCTGGTTTGAGGCCTCTTAAGAGGTCTGTGAAAGGAATTGAAAACTTCGTGTTAGTGCCTAACCTGGTTCTCATAAATAAAGGAATGTTGGAGTTGATGGAAAAGAGCACTTAGAACAGGAAAATTGCTAGGGGGCTCTGGCTGTGTTTCTTTTGCTCCAACTAATTCACTCCCTTTGCCACGTCTATAAGGACTTGCAACCTAGTGTGGTATGTACATTCTAGCTTAGCAATATTAACTATCAAGTGTAATACACTATCTACCAGCTCAACTTCCTCCTCTATACATGAAAAAAACAACACCTAATTTAGAGTGCTGTCATGAGGATTTAATGAATGAGTACAATGGAAGTGTTTAGGACAGAACCTGAAATATACTTATAAGTGCAATGTTAGCCACTGTTGTTAATAGTTGAGTGCTTATTCAGGCTTTGTTCTAAGCACCCAGAGGTAAACACAGCAGTGTCTCTCAGCCAGGAGATAGTTAACTCAAGAGTAGGTTTAGCAGAAGAAGCTTCTATAGTAATACTTTTCAGATTACCTTATTTAAGGCCACCCTCCATTTAGTCATATTGTAATCCTAAAATTTCTTAAATAATTGCCCCTCCTTTTAATTTATCTTTCTGATGACTTACCGCCTAAGAGGCAGGAGAAGATAAAAACACCAGCAAAGACAGTCTTTCTCATTCTTAAGTTTGCAGCCAAAAGGAAGATGGAAGGAAAGAGACGACCCACCATTATACCTTTCCTGGGGAAGTAACATAGTTACACATTTATGTCAGGGATTTTAAAAAGGGAAATTACTGGCTAAGCTTCTTTTATTTCATGAAGAAAGCATAAATGGACTTGTTTTGTGAAGGAGGAGACATAAGGCACTGGTCTTTATAAGAAAATTTACCATAAAAGTCTTAGTTCTAGAACATTTTAAGTTTATATGTCTTCTTGTTACCCATACCTCCCATCATGGTAATTTAATAGAAAAATATTAAATGAGATGAATGATGTGTCTAGGTAATATCCTGTTAGAAAGCCTTCTGATTTGTGAAAAAGAAAATACTTACTTCTGTTTCTTCATAAACTAATGCTTTCATGGCAAAATGTCATATGTACAGGAAAAGGACTGGATGATAGTAAACAATACAACGCTTATTAAAATATGGGGAAAGGAATTATCATTTTGTCTGAAACACAACACTCTGGTTATTTATGACTTACCTATCTTGACAGAAGTTTCCTGGTCTCAACTTCTTTAAAAGGTTGACAAGTAAAATTTCTGATGGGAAGAAGCCAGTTACAACTGAAACCAACAGCAAATACCTGATCCACTATGTTCCAAACAGTTTAAACAGTAAAAATCGTCCAAGTAAACAAACAGGAAAAATTTCCACTTGAACATTGTTGTCTATATGGAACTTAATTCATCTCCTTACTCATGAAATAAGTATAGTAAGGCTAAGTCAGCCAACAAGAACACTGACTAATTGTAAATTTGGCTAAAGATTTCTATGTTCACTATGCTGTGGGGTAGTTAGTTTGGATATGCACAGCAATGTGAGCAAACCTGCTATCTTTTCATTATACAAAGTGCTTGGCCTTGATTTTTCATGTGTGTTGAGAATTGAACCCAGGGTCTTACACATGCTAATGTTATGCTAGTGTCATTTAGCTGCACCTTCAGCCCTAGTCTTGATATTTAAAGAAATACCATGTAACCCTTAGAGCAAAACTTGGTGGATACAGAAAGTAATTTGATTTTTAAAAAAATAATGTTTATTTCTTAATTAGCATATACTTTCCAAATGAATACATTTTCTTCGTGAAATGAATAAAAATATTAATAATGCTAAAATTTCCTTGACCATATTCCCACCAAACCTTATATTTTCCCTTCAATGTAGCCATATTACCAATAAGTTGAGTACCTTTTTTAATATAAAAAATTATTTCCTGGGGGTGATGGAGTGGCTCAAGTAGTAGAGTACTTGCTTAGCAAGCACAAGGCCCTGAATTCAAACCCCAGTGCCACCCCTCCCCCCAAAACCCTAAAAAACAAAAAAAATAATTTCCTATAGTTTGTTCAAGGGTGCCCATTTTACAATTCTGTGTATATATTTGTAACATGGAAATATGTATAATATTACTTTTTTGTTTTATTTTTATAAAAATACTATCTACTCTACCTATTTTCCCCTGTATTTCACTCAAAAATATGTTGAAAAATTTTATATATCCATCTTTAAACCATATTTTCCACTGATTTATCTGTAATAAGGAAGGGAATAAAAACACATATACCCCTGAATATTATTTTGTAAGATGCACAATTCTAAGTGTGACCCAATAACATTTTATGTTTGCATAGTTGCATGTTTCCACAACTAAGAGCAAATATGGGACATTTCCATCAACTTGAAAGGTTTTATCCTGCCCCTTCTCAAGGTGGCCATCCTCCTGAGAAATAGCCAATTCCACTTCAGTCACTATTGACTAGTGCTACTTGTTCTTAACTTTCTATGTTTAATGGAATCATATAGTATATTCTGTTGTTAACTTCTATGTCATTATTTTGTATCCAACCACCTTTCCTGGAGCATCTCATGTAGAAATGTCCACCCCCAAACTCCAAGACACCCAATGATCACTTTCAGGGCCCTAACATTCTATATTGTTTTTCTTGCTTTCATTAAAAAACTATTTCATATGCACATATGTATTATATATGTTATGCATGCATATATACATATAAATATATTAATTAGAAGATGACATAAAAATAATTTATCCCTTAAAGGAAAAGACATATAGATAATATATACCAAGAAAAATATCCCTATGGTTAACATTTAAGAGTTTATATGCTTGTTAACTGACTAATCAGATTTCAACTTCATTTAAAGAAATAATTCCTACTCCTCCTCTTCCTTCTTGTCTTCCTTCTCCTCCTCTTCCTTCTCTTCCTCTTCCTCTTCCTTTTCCTCCTCCTCCTCCTCCTCCTCTTCCTCCTTCTCCTCCTTCTGGTACTGGGGTTTGAACTTGCTAGGCAGGTGCTCCACCATTTGAGCTATACCTCTAGACCAAGGAAATAAATTTCTAATAGTGGCTCATTAGGGTCAAAGACAAATTTGTAGTGAAGATATTTGCACAAAAGGAAATCTTCAAGAAGAAACTGAAGAAAAAACATTAAGGGCTTATTATGGTCTAAACACACAGATAAATAGCTGGGAGGCAAAAATGAGTATGCCGCACTGTGGCTCTAAATTGACATCATGTTTCTAGGAAACAATTCGTCAGCATGTATCAAAAACCTTTAAAAGGTTAATGTCTTTGTCCCAGTAATTCCATTTCTATGAATTTGTTCTAAAGAAATATTTAAGTAAAAAGCCAGGTGTGGTCATTCGTGCCTATAATCCCAGCACTCGGAAAGCAGAAGCAGAAGGATCATGAGTTGGAGGTCAGCCTGGAGTACATTGTGAGTTTAAGGCCAGCCTGAACTACATAGCAACCCTGCCTAAGAAAGAAAGAAAGAAGAAAGGGGGGGGGGAAGGGAGGGAGAGGGATAGGGAGCGAGAGAAAGAGGAAGGAAGGAAGGAAAGAAATATTCAAGCAAATTAAAGATATAGCACAAGTACCTAAATACAAGGCAATTACTAAGTTATTGACAGTAAGTCCATGAGGTTGGAAGGTGTCGCAGTAGCTCAGCCAAGAGATGAAAAAGGTTAGAACCAGGACAGAAACGAAGGGATGGCAAAGAGCAAATAGATATGAGAAATGCAAAGGACCAATTCCTTAATGTAACCCTACAGGTCTGTGTATGAGGAGCAGCTAATCTTCTCTACCTATCACTCTTCACCTAATACCCATCATAAGAATTATCTCTTTATATTCTCCTTCACCAGACTCCTTGAGTGAAGAAACACCATCTTGGTTTGTCCAGCTTTCAGGAGGGTGTCTGACTCATCTAAGCGCATGTCAAACAAATGGAATATCTTTAGTGGGAGAAAGTTTGGAGAAAGAATCCCAGAGTAGTATAGGGATGAGTGTCTGTGAGAAGGATAAATGACAGGGAATATCAAGGACGAACCATGAGACTGGACAAACTCTTCGTAGGTAGTTGCAGACTGTGGTTCCAGTGGGTTTTAATGACTGAGGGGATGAGCAGATTCCAGGATTTCTGTGGGTTCCCAAGCTGTTTTGCTGTCTCTTAAGATGGTTCTTCACTGGCAGTTAAAAGGAAAAATTAGTGCTGGTTTCTGGGATGCAACTTTCTCAGTGAAATCCTGGAACCCAAGCTATCTGAGAGATGAATCTTTGGATTTGAATACACTGAACACCTTGGGAGAGCTCTCTTCAGGCAACTCAGGACATAGTTGTCTTCCTCCCTGAATATTCACCTCGGGGACCATGCAAGGGTCTCTGGAGATCTAAAGTCACTTCATCATCCTCTATAATCAGGGGTCTGTGGTTTTATCTATTCATAAATGAGGTAGCTCTTTTATTCCTCAAGTTGTTAGTGAGCAGAGTGAGAGATGTCAACATCACTGCAAGGTTCGACGTTCCCAGGAGCAGGAAATGACATTTTGTAGACTAGAAGCCTTGATTTCTCATTCATAGTGAGGGAGTTTGCATACAGTGCTGCAGGTGTGGACCTGCAGATACACACATTGTAGAGTACCACTGGTGAATCATGTTTTGGATGCTTCCCCCTTTGTTTTCTGGCAGATATTGTGATAATGAAAAACATGAAGGGACATAATTTTAAACTTAGGCCCAGGAAGGTAAGAGCAGAGTTCAAAGCCTTATAAACTTACTGCAAAAAGACTGAAATACCTGTGGAATTGCTATTGTCTTATTCTCTGCTGAATGATCACAGTCATGTTGCTGTGAAGCTGGAAAACATCACCAACAAGCTGCTTATAATGTAGACCTGGCAAATTCTTTTCTTTCTTCAGGTTGGTGTAAAAGTCTACTGTATCTTATAGGTGACTTGACCTTTCTTAGACAGAAGTCCCTAGTTATCATTTCATAATCCCAAATCCTATGAGATGCTTTGAATGAAAAGTGTAACATGGGCAGGTAAGTTCTCAAGAAGCAGTATATGATATTCTCTAATGGAAAATTTAAAATGTACTTTGAAATATTGAAAGTTCTAAGTTTTATTGGAGCAAATAAACCTTATTTCAAGCCAGTTTTCCTGAATTTACTTGGCCAGTCAATATTATTTTTTATTTTATGCATCTTTACATAATTAAGAACAAGTTCTTTTTTATTTATTTATTTATTTATTTATTTATTTCATTTTTCTTTTATTATTCATATGTGCATACAAGGCTTGGTTTATTTCTCCCCCCTGCCCCCACCCCCTCCCTTACCACCCACTCCACCCCCTCCCGCTCCCCCCCCAATACCCAGCAGAAACTATTTTGCCCTTATCTCTAATTTTGTTGTAGAGAGAGTATAAGCAATAATAGGAAGGAACAAGGGGTTTTGCTGGTTGAGATAAAGATAGCTATACAGGGCATTGACTCACATTGATTTCCTGTGCGTGGGTGTTACCTTCTAGGTTAATTCTTTTTGATCTAACCTTTAAGAACAAGTTCTGATCCAAGTAGTGATCCACTAGTAACCATAATCATCATATTTGATGATGATAGCTTGCAACTGTTTTTTACTCACATTTTACAAAGCATGCTTGGCTCTGTAATTACATTTAATGAGCCTTTCTTATATTAGGGATAAAAACATTTTTATTCCCATTCAAAGAAA